ATTGGGATACTCGAAATCAAATTCCAAGCGGGTATGGGAGAATTTTACTTTTTTGGTGGTCGACAGTGGCTACAGTGCGGCGATGACTGGGGGTCGGTCCCCTTCTCTGGCGAGGGTAGGGCGGCTAGGGTTAGGGTTCCCCTACAACGCGATATTTATATACTCATCCCGCGTCGATTTGGGTCATTCAATCTTTACTTGTGTAGGCTGATTGCATGGGCAAATTTGGGTTATCCATCGTGATTGATCTCGTCCGTCGGATCCCACCTAAAGAGGAAACGAATCTTAATCATTCACGCGCGCGAGATTAAACCTTAGCCGTCGGATCACTGGGCACGTGGATCGTCCATGTGGCCTCCTGCGTGGCACCGACGTCAACGTGTTTTGACACGCGGCGTGTTCCGATTCGTCGAAATTGCTGACTGGACCGTTTCGTGTGGATGAATTTTTTTTGTATTAATTTTTCTTTAAAAACATCCATGAACTCAAATTTTCACTCATTTTTTCCAAAATTACTTTCGATTACATCCCAAATCTATTTTTTCAAATAATTTAATAAAAATAAATTAAATTAATTTAAAAATAATTTATTTATTTATTTTTATAAATACTAAAATTGATCCCATACCAAATTTCGGACCCGAATTGTAACGACCCTAGAAATTTCAAAGGAAATATATGTAAAGAATATGAGTGCAGAAGCGAAATAAAAGGTTCTGATTAATATCCCTTACACAATAACTTAAACGTACTAACAATATAAAAAAAAAAAAGGTCCTCTAAAGGAAATACTAGAAATGAAAGACTATAAAGAAACTAATAAACATCTAGGCATTCGCCGTCTTCTTGTGGATTGGGCTCGGGAACCAAGTCCTCCTGATCTGAAATGGTTAAGTAAGTAATGAGTTACACTAGTCCAGTAAAGACATCATACTATATTACTGTTACAGAAGTAAAGGTTGGTAGAAAACTAAAAACAACCAATGGAACACAAATTTTGAATAGATTCATTTATAAAAAATCAAACCATGTACCGTCCACTTACCTCAGTGGGATTTATAAAAACAACCCATGAAAAATAATAACATCATAGATATCATGAATTCATACATAATCTGTAACATAGCATATATCATACTTTTATATTTCAATCATCAAATAACAGTTGCCCCCTTTTTCATCAACCTACTAGTATCCATGGGGATCCATAGGGGTCCCCGCTATACGTGAACCCTTCCCTTAATAAACTTAATTTCCAGGGCCGTCCTCATACCCCGTCCGGTATAGGCGCCGAACAATAAACCTCAATACCCCGTCTGGTATGAGGGTGAAGCAGGCCGTCCCCATACCCCGTCTGGTATGAGCGCCAAAATATTTAAAGTCTCCATACCCCGTCCGGTATGAGACAATGTTCCCGGCAGGGTTCCCTATGGACCCGGTTCGTCCACCATCTCCTAGGATATCTAGTGAAGCTGTCAACTTATCCATTCATTAATTCACACCTCTTTCCTATTTTTTTCTTAGTTTCCTGTTTCCCACATAAACGTGAATACTAAAGCAATCAATAACCATCCAACAAGGCAAGCATATCATTAGATTCACAAAGTCAGGTCGGAATGAAGTAAACAATGATTCATGCATTTAAAAACCATATAATAATTAAATCAGATACCATACTGCATTTAGACTGTAAAATAAATCAAACAGGAACTAACAGAGAAAGATGTCCGGTTCGAGCTCCATTAGCAATCGTAATAAATTATGCATATCTATTTAATTTATACAAATACAGTTTTATCATTTATTAAACTTTAATCCCGTGATAGGAAATAGGGTGAGGGGTCCTTACTTAATTCGACGTCGAAAATCAGATTTTCACTGCGCCTACAAGCAGTCCCTAGATTCCCTGAATTTTTTTTTTGGGAACTGAAATGCGCTTACAGTACCTACACAGTCCCAAATAACTCAAAAATCCGACCCAAGGCCTATTCGGCCAATTTCAGAATTCCGGCACGGCGGCTCCGCCGTGCTCCGGCGACGGCGCCGCCGCGAGCGGTGGTGATCCGCCTTGGGTTGGCTGTTTTCGGCCGTTTTCTGCTGAATTCAGCCAAACTTGCATTGGTTCCTATGAGAAAACACCCCTAGGACCCTCGGTGGGCCGAAAAAAAATCGAAAACCGAAACTTACCGGCGGCGGGGCTCTCCGGTGCGGCGGCTCCTCCGACTCGAATCGCGATTTGGTGTTTTGCTCCGGTCAACCTGTAGAGGAGGGAACGGTGATCACAATGGTGAAAAAATTACATCGAACGGGAATCAAGAAGGGCCTCATCAGAGACAAAAATCGAGACAATCCGCGGCAGCACCACTGGGCTTCAGCAGCATTTTTCAGCCAATTGGCTGGTGTTTTGGCTCTAATTTGGCCGCAATTGGGTTTAGAATCGAATTTTGAGCTAATGGAAGAATTTTTACCTCGTTTGGCGGCCGAAAAGTGTTCCGGTACGGCAGCGAGTGGCGGTGGTCGGCTCCCCGGCGGCTGGACTGTCTTCTCCAGCGAGGGATCTGGCGACTAGGGTTAGGGTTTTGGTGTGGATGAGATTATTTATAACCTTTCGCTTTTAATCTGAGCCGTCTATCGTGATTTAATCTGGGCCGTCCGATCGCGATTAAAAAAGAAATGAATCTAGACCGTTCATCGCGATGCAATCTGAGCCGTCTGTGCGCGATTCAATCTGGGTCGTCTATGCGCGTGCAATTTGGGTCGTCCGTGCGCGTTTTTTATCCTGGCTGTTTGTGCGCGCGGGAACAGATCTCAGCCGTTCGATCGCGCGCACGCGGATTACCCACGTGGCTCCCTTCCACGTGGCCTCCCGCGTCAATGTCTCTGCCACGCGGCGCGTTCTGGTTGGCCGGAGTTGCTGATCGGACAGCTGACGTAGCGTAATTTTTTTAAATTACGTTTTGACACCCCGATTTTCAAATTTTCTTTCAAAAAGACCCATAGAACCCAAATTTTCACCCCTTTTTTCAAAATTATTTTCAATTAAATCCCTAAGATTTTTTTTTCATTTTTATTGTTTTTATTATTATTATTTCTATTAAAATAATTTAAAATAAATTAAATTCTATTAATATTTAATTATATTTATTTAGAATTAATTAAAAATAATACAATAAAATAATAATAATAATAATTCTTGGGTGTTACACGAATATTGCACGTAGACTAAATCTAAAATTTAATTTTTAAAATTATTCACAAGGATTGTTTTAGTGAATTTGTTTATTGAAAATTATTATTTTAATTCACTTTACTATTTAATTTACAAGATTCTTACATATGTCAAACATATCTTATTACAATTTAATTTTTTTTATTTATAAAAAGAAAAATTATATCAAAATAATTTTGACCTTATCACTTAATAGTGAAAAAAAAAAATCTGAATAAACACTTATACCTATTATGGACAGAATAATAGAGATCGAAACAAATAACTCTCCTGATTTAAAATTAAAAAAAAAAATAAAAAAATTTTGGACATAAATTTTCACTTACATTATAACATCTTTGATTTTTGTTAATTATATATATAAAAATAAAAACACCCTCTAATATAATTACGAATACATAGAATTTTAAGACACATCATATATTTTATTTTTCTAGTGTCTATATATAAAAGTATATATACATTTAGAGAAGTAAAAACTAAAATTAAAAAAAAAAAAAGTGAAAATGTAACAGAAACTAATCATGGCAATTTTACTAATTAAGATTTCAACACTTTAAAATTCATTTTCAACAATATAATATTGTTATATAAATAATATAAATTTAAAAAGCACAAAGTTAAAATATAATAAATCAAAATTTAGTTTGATTGGTTGGACTTTGGAAGAACATTAGGTTGCTTCATCATGAATCCTATTGATAAGCCCAGCCAGTAATTGGGCCTTACAATTCACAAAAGATGTTTCTTTGTAGAGCCCATTTAAATAATTCTAATTTTATATTCAACCCGGCCCATTGAAAATGGATAAGAAATAATATTGCTGATGAAGTATTTTAAATTTTTTATTAATTAAAAATATTTACAAAAATTAATTTGTTCGCTTTTTTACATAAAATACGTTAAATTTTCTTATTATTATTAGTTACGAAAAAAAAAAGAAAATAAAAAAGCTGCAAAACAATAGCTCTTAAAAGAATAAAATAACGTAAACGATAAAAAATTAAATCAAACAAATTAAAATATTACAAGAAAAAATTTTATAGCATTATTAATTATGAAATATTGTTATATAGAAGAACTCGCTTATTATATTTATTGTCACAGTCTTATTAATTAATACTAATTATAAATAAACTCTATAATGAGTAAATTGATTAAAGACTATATTTACAATAAATCAATATAATTTTGAAAAATTTATATAAATACTTAGTTTAATTATAAAATGATGAATTTAAAAAAAAAAACTCTTATAAAACTTAAATAATATATTTTAAATTTTGTAAATTAAAATATGTAATTGTAATTTTACATTGAATATTTTATATCATTCTAATAAAATCGATATTTATCTCCCAGTGTGTTAAATCGATCTTAAACACCGAATATAACTAGATTTAAAGTTAGACACACATCTGTATCAAGTTAAACCTGGTTGGTAATATGACCGACTTGTAAGATTAACAAAGCTGCACTCCAACCTGAATCAGATTCGTGAATTTCTTAACTTTCGTTTTCATGAATTCCAGTCGTCCATTGTAGTCTATTAATTTAGGTAAGCCTGTGAATGATCGAGCAAGATGGGCCTAATTGTTTGTCGTCCTCCATATCCGTACAATCACTGAAGCATCGTTATAATTATTGCTCACCATTTGACATGTGCACGTCTATATCTATCTATACATATACACACACAGACAGATACATGTACATATAATTTTCTTGAAGTTCAAAACAACGTCCAAAAGAACTTAATTTAACCCAAAAAAAAAAAAAAAAAAATTGAGATTTCTGCAAACAATTTCGAGATCAAACAACTATTAATAATTATTATTTTCATAATTATTTATAGTTATACTAATTAAAGTAGGTGAAGCCTGAAAGCTGATTCAGCTGGAAGAAGCCTAACGCTTTTGAATGAAATCCTTCATCTTCTCGAGAGCTAAACATGATTCAGTCAACTCTTCAAAAACCACGAAACCATGAAACATATTTTCGTACTCCACCAACTCGACCTCTTTTCCTCCTTTCTTCAACCATTCCATGTACTTTCTCTCCCAATCCAGCAGTGGATCCAATCCACCCGCAATAACCAGTGTATCCGGAAACTTCATCCCCGAAATCTCTACCGCATTCGGGCCAGAAACGTTCGCCGCCGGATGGTCTCTATCTGTTCCCTCCGGCAAAAACGCCTTCCAGAACCAGTCCGTACGCTTTAGTGGGAGAGCTGATGACGACCCGCCATTTCGGATCTCCGATTCCGTCCTTTCTTCTCCTCCGAAAAACGGTTGTATTGCTACCATGCCTTTGATCTTCAGATTCCGAAACTCGTGCTCACTAGCTCTCGCCGCCACGTGATGAGCCAAATTACCGCCGGCGCTGTCTCCCGCTAAGAAACACCTCTTGGGATCGGCAAATCCGGAAGGGAAGCACTTATCGAAATTATCATCAATGAATTTCAAGGCGTCGAAACTGTCATCGTATTGGATTGGATAGCGATACTCCGGCGAACGACGATAATTGACGGAGGCGACGACGACTCCAAGCTCCCTTACCAGGCGGCGACAGAAATTGTCGTAGACAAATGAGGCAGGGGTAAAGAAAGTGAATCCCCCGCCATGGAAGTATACGATGACTGGGCGAAGACCGGCCTGGTCTCCGGCGGGCGGCGTGAAGAGACGTATCCAGAGATTTCGAGAGACGTCGATGAGGGTGTCGGAAGAGGAGACTCCATGGCGAGGAATCTTGTCGGGAGTGTTCGTGAAATCGAAGAGAGTGAGAAGTGAGCGGTTTACGGTTTGATTGGAGTGGCAAAAGGTGTTACTGACGATTTTATGCGCCCCGATTAGGAAACGAATCTTCAATGGGATCTTTTTGGTGGCCATTTTCGATCTCTGTGTCAACTGGTTTACCTTGAGGCAGTTTATGGGAGTTCACCGATGTTTGGACGTCTGTTGTTATTCACGAAGTATGGTTGTTAAGCTTTGGGTTGTTGACAAGTACGAAGTTGGAAACCATGAAAATGAAGGAAAAAGTTCAATAAATGAAGGATATAGAAAGTAACGTTTATCTTTTTTCAATTAAAGTCAGGCTTCTAGATTACAACATAAGACAATTCTAATTATTTTTCTTGTTAACTAATCAAAACTCAACAACTATTCACGTTTGGCAATTCAGATAAGGAAAGTAATTTGCACTTCAATTTCTAATAAAGGAAAAAAAAAAAAAAAAAAGACTTAATTTACTTTTTTTAATTAGAATACAAACTATTTTATTTTTGTGGAATTGATAATGCCTCTCAACATAACATGCTTCGTCTAATTGGCAACATGAGCCTAAATGATATTGCAGTCCGATGAAATTAAAAGATTCTATACACGAATAAAATTAATTTTTTTTGGAAAAGTGATTATTTATGAGAGAGACAGAGAGGGGATGGATCAAACGCAATTTCTTTATTTCAATAAAAAGCATGTGTTTTTAAAATAATATTTTTTTTTTTTTAACTGATGAAGTCAATTTTTTTATTACAAAAAATAATAATAATTTCTAAAAAAATTAATTTAAAAAATATATATTATATTTTGCTGAAACAAAATTTAAATTGATTATTACAATCTCACTACTACATTAATAATTTAATTTTTTGTTTTTATATTAAAACAAATATTTCGGAATAACATCTGTTAATTCATTTGCAATTTTATAAAAACTTTTAACTGCTCTCCCTAACTGCATCACGTGATAATTTATCCCATCCCCATATTTATATTTATATATCTTCATTAAATAAATATCCACGTGAAGTATATATTTTATAATGGCTGCAACTTCCTGACCAACGCAGAGCCATGACTGTTGGAAACCTCATTTTTCCGGATACATATTTCCTAGTGGTTGGAGAGGAGAGGAAGTAGAAACCAGTTCAGTAAAATGGCTGATCAAGAACAGCGAGTATCACCAGACCTTCCATGGTCGGTCAACCTTTTCCTCTCTATGCTCTCCTTCGCCGTCGACATCTCTCGCCGTTCAAACATCACCGTCAACCGTCGTCTCATGAGCTTCTTCGACTTCAAATCCTCACCCTCCAAAAAACCCATCAACGGCGTCATCTCCTCGGACGTCACCGTCGACGCCACGCGAAACCTTTGGTTCCGTCTCTTTACTCCCACCGTCAAACCCGAAGATGGCACCGGCGGCGCCGACCCACTTCCTGTGATCGTCTACTTTCACGGAGGAGGCTTTGTTTTCATGGCCGCCAATTCCAAAGTTTACAATGACTGGTGTCAACGGCTGGCGCGAGAGGTCCGCGCCGTTTTCGTTTCCGTCAATTACCGGCTCTCGCCAGAACACCGTTACCCATCCCAGTACGAAGATGGCATCGATGTCTTGAAATTCATCGACGCGACGCTCGATTCCTCAATTCCCGTCGATTTAAACCGGTGTTTCCTCGCCGGAGATAGCGCCGGAGGCAACATAGCGCACCACGTGGCGATCAGAGCTAACGATCATGAATTCAGCAAGCTTAATGTGGTTGGGCTGATATCGCTGCAGCCTTTTTTCGGCGGAGAAGAAAGGACGGAGCCGGAGAAGAAGCTGGTGGGATCTCCGTTGGTGTCGATGGAGCGTGCGGACTGGATGTGGAAGGCGTTTTTGCCGGAGGGATCGGACCGGGACCATCCGGCGGTGAATGTGTTTGGACCCAGATCGGCGGATCTGTCGCCGGTGAAGTTTCCGGCAACAATAGTGTTTGTCGGAGGATTTGACCCGTTGAAAGAGTGGCAGAAGAGGTACTACGAAGGGTTGAAGAAGTGTGGAAAAGAGGCCCGTTTGGTGGAGTACCCGAAAGCCATTCATTCGTTTTATGCATTTCCTGAGTTTCCTGAGTCGTCTCTGTTGATCCAGGAGGTGAAGAATTTCATCGGAAGCCATTGATCTTGTTGTAAATGAGACGAATAAACTAATTATTTTCGTGCTCTTTGGGTTTAATTTGGCTGTCGAATGCGAGTTTTTTATGTCTTTTTTCTTTTTTCTCCCTCTTTTGACTGTTTGATGGAGGGTTCAGGGGGGGCAGACATTTATTGGCGTTACTTTCTTTGCAGTTTTCTTGTTCGGAAAATAAGTTGGGGTTTTAGGACACCTGTACTTCGTGGTGAGAGTGATGTTGAAATAATTGTTAATTAAATATGTTATATAAGAATAATTATAAAAAAATTATTATTATTTCTTAAAAATGGAATCTGCGTTTTTAGTAAAAATATATATTACTAACAGTTCATGATGTTCAAACAAGAACTACGTGTTCTAAACATAACTATGAAATTTGAAATTATTTAAAAAATTAATTTAAATTATTAGTCATATATCAATATTAATAACTATATAAATATATGGTTTTCAAATAAAGTTATATAATAAATAAATATGTATATTATTATATATAGATACAATTATATAATATAAAAATTATTATAGTAATATACATTACATATAGATGTAGATTTATAACTATAATATAAAATATAAAACACATAATATATTTATAAACATATATTATAACTTACTCTCCTAACTTTCTTTAAAAAAAAAAAAAAACACTTCCATTGGACGTTTATACATATATATATATATGTATGTATATGAGAGAGGTCTCAAATAACGGCTTCATCATAATTGATTTTATAGAACTCTTATGGTTATTTGGGTCTATGCCATATTTGCGTCTTACTTCTTCATCATCTAAAAAGAGCATACTCCCGAATAAGGCATCCCAAGTCTTGTCTATCCATATAATTGTCACAACTGTACAAGCTATGAATAAGAGCACGCACAAAAATTTAAACCAGCCTAGGAAACATATGTAGGTTTAGCAGTCTGCTTGCAAGCTAAATCAGTACATAACTTCAAGCATCATTTATACATCGCCGCAGAGAATGGTGTCTGCACATAAAAACTCTCTACTTGCCTGCTATAAAACATAGTTCAAGAAGACCAAAACTCTAATCCAAATCCAGCATAAGTTTTAGGATTTCAGTATGTCGATTAAGGCTGTTTTTGTTCCATGCCACATCCTTGCTAGCACCACCAATCTGAATACTGCTGAAATTCTAAATCAGTACTTTTTCTTTTTAACAAGAAAAAAATTAAAATGTTTTTCTTCTAAGAGAAAGAATTTGACGATGTTAAAAGAACTCAATTCTCTCATATCTACTGTTTTTTTGGTGAAAGCTATGTAACTTCTACTTATTCTACTTTTTATGGTTGTTGGATCAATGCCTGTCACCGTGAGAGAACAACTGAACAGAGAATTCAAAGGCTTAACCTATCAAGACTCCAATAACCCAGGCCCACCACCCTCACCCCTCGAGGAAAGAAGCAACAGAAACATATAAAACACATATTTCTAATAAAAAGAATTTGACGATACTATAAAAACTCAGTTCTCTCACATCTACTGTTTTTATTCCTTTCTTTTTCTGTTTGTTTCCTCTTTTATGGTGGTGGATTAATGCTGTCACTGTGAGAGAACAGCTGACAATACATTCAAATAATAGACAGAGAATTCAAAGGCTCAGCCTATCCAGACTCCAATAACCCCGGCCCACCACCCTCACCCCTCAAGGATAAGAAGCAACAGAAACATACAAAACACATACTTCTAAACACCTCTACATGTTCCAAAAGAAATATAATCTGGGAATGTAAACCACATGCCTCTACATGAAATATGATACGACCATAAAACAAACTTACTTCTTATTTCCTTGTTTTGTCAAGAACTTCAATGTATCTCTTTGGGATTCCATATTGTCCAACCAGATGTTTTGCCACATCATCAATCACACCGCCTTGAATAAGAACTTCTTGCCCCTTCTTACCTGGTGAAAAATTCAGACCAGTAAGAGCATGCACAATGTACATTTTAACTGATTACGAGAATATCTGACAACTTCACTGTCATGGATCTCACCATAAAGCCACCACTTAAAACCTTCTAGCTGAAATTAGACATCCTCCATGATTTAGTTAGGATGTTGAAGAAATCTATTAACTCCACCAACACATTCATTCTCACTTATCATGCTAGGAAATGTAAAAAACGGAAAGTAGTTAGGACCAATTTCAATTCCTTACTATTTTAAAATGGAAAATAACACCTAGCTGCACCGCCAGTTATGGAGAAAATCTATTATGTCCATTACTACTTATTATGTGATGTTCACATAGAAAAAACAAGAGGATTTGGGATTAGGAAATCAGGATCTCTTGAGAGTGATAAAATTTTTGTCATACCATCATGAACACTTAATTTCCTCCTCCAGTTATTCTATTCCTCTCTCCCTTCTGCTGACCTTCCATCCTAATTTCTCTCTTCTTCCTGCAACTGACCACTGCGACCCTAGGATGGGAAATAAAGATCTTTACAATATCTCCCTTCACCAACAACCCAAGATCTTTATCAATACTACAATATACAGCAATATTCGTGACACATATATATTAGGTAGTAGCACGTATGTGTGTGCGGATACATGTCTTCTTTTCAGTAGGTGGAGAACAAGTAAGAACAAAGATCGGATAATATACATATAAACATAAAATTGTCACCACAAGACTCCAAGACACATGTATATTATGTAGTTGCAGCAAAGCAACCTCCCATACCAGCTGAAAATCTTAATAAAGCAATAATTCAGAAATATGCATATACCTGGAAGTTCTGCGACAGATGTACTGCAAGCAAATTTCTTCTGTAACTCTGATGCCAAAGGTTCGGCATCAATCAAGAATGTCTCTGTACCTGAAACCCTTGTCACTTTCTTGTTACCTTGTCTTCGTTCAGTCATTATCTGAATTGTTTTTATGGCGCCTTTACGAACAACTGAATCAGTACCTCTAGTTACAACATGGTGGGCCTGCATCCGGCCAATAAATGCAGATCCTAAATCTTTCTTATGAATCTCTGTGGGGTATGCAGATCCCTTTTTTATAGCTCCTTTGAATAATGCATCACATAAAGTCGGATCGAGAACCACAATGGACTTGTTAGTTGGCTTGACGAGATTTTCTTTCTCAACATACTTGAAGACAATCTCAGAAGCTTCTGAAGCACTGTAAAGTCTCCCTCCATCAGCTCCAACAGAAGCAAAAATCGGATTAACATGCACACTGGGTTTATAAATCTCTGTCACTTCAAGCATTTTTTGTGATCGATTTTCACTAGTAGCATGATCACCAACCTGATCAGATTTCTCTACTTTCCGTATCTCCGGCTTGAATGACAAATAGTCTGGATGATTGCGATTAACAGAAAATAAAACAACTTCCTTTTTATGTTTGTCCTCTTTCACTGCAATCTGTCCAAATTTGGAAATAGCAAATTAGCAGAGGATGTAAAGGAAGGATTCTGAGAAACCAGATAAAACCAATTGAATTTACTGAGGAATAATGCCTTGCGGGGGGAGAGTCTCAAACAGTTCATCTAACAAGGTCTCAAAAATAAAGGGCCAATCACAAAATCTTCTAGTTTAAGTACACAAGAAGAGCAGATAATGCACAGCTCTGGCCTACACTGCTGGAATTGACTTCTCTTTTCTTTTTAGAGAGAAGAAAGTAGAAAGATTAATTATAAAAAAAAAAGTGCATCAAGGAGTTGCCCATATGCAAGAGATTTTCAAGTTATCAACAGAACTCAAGATATCTCTAGTGAGTGAAGCAGGAACCAAGACTTCTCTTATTAATAAACCACCAAGAAGATTCTGCTGTTTCTATTCCGCAAAAGGAAAAGAAAACTGCAGCCTGGGTTACATGTCTCTATGAGCACTAAGAGAAACGGTAGAGGACATACCAGTCCTACAGATGCTTTAGCTTGCAACCATTTCGACAATTTCTTGTGAGATGATTTCTTAATATCTAGCGTCACATTTGAAGGCCTACAAGGTAATACATGATTTGACCTGACATTGATCACATGGAAGCAACAACTTCTGTTAGAGCATGCTTGCACAGAAAATAAAGATCGATTAAATGGTGCATCAACATCCAACAAAAACTCTTCCGATGATTAGAACTTCACAAAGCAAAAACCAATCTCCAAAAGTATGTAGGCAAGTCTTTGCTTCTGATTCATGCCTCAATAACCCAGGACATATCAAGCATTTCGCAAAATAGACATGAGTTGTGGTTTGATAGGAACAACCTGCTTGAATATTTACTTTTAACTTTTACAAGATTTAACCAAGAGTCCCTCAAATGTTGCTTAAAACTGTCTTTTACTTAAAATTGAACAATCAGTAAGATAGAACTCGATGGAGGTCAACCAGAGGATCCCTCCCCACACTTTTCCTAACAGGAGAGTTTCAACCATTTATTATACTTTTCAATTATAATTCCAGACTGCATTAATGGGTTTCCCATCATGTCCATCGGTGCATGCAAACCCAATTATTGTGTGCATGCATGTGTGTGTGTGAGAGAGAGAGAGAGAGTCAGTCAGCGTTAGTGGAGTTATCTTACCATAATGTACTTCCAGGCATCGGGAGGTCCTTGTCCTTTACTGTTGTATGCAAAGCTTGGAGAAGGCATTTGTCTAAATATGCATCCACATCTTCAACAGAGAGAGCAAGCGGCTCCTCGACATTAGTTTCATTAGCAGAAGCATCATCTTCTAGTTTGATATCACCCACATTTGCAATTGCTTCTTCTGCCATGCCACTCTTAGCATCTATTTCTGTGGTTGAGACAGTGTTTGGTTCGGATTCACCTTCTTCTTCATTTTTAATGTTGTTCTCCGGATCCTCTGAAGCATCAGCAGCATCTTCACATGAATCAAGACCTTGAGATGATGAAACTAAAACAGGATCCTCAAACACAACATCTTCTAAAAACCCTGTATTTGGCACGTAATGGCCCTCAACCGATTCCCTGCAAAATGTTCTTAAAGCATGTCAGCATCAATGTTCCTCACCAATCGAAAAGTAACTAAGTTTCCACCTATACTTGCCAAAGGAAGTCACGGTAATAATGAGTTATCCTCAAAGCCTTCCCACGCAGACCAGCTTTCAGTGCTTCTGTACTGCTCATAGTAGTAGCTCCAACCTGCATAAGTCAAATCCTCTCACTAATACAAATGGTGGTGCTAATCAAATATTCAATATCAGGCCTCACTATAGTAGAATGTGCAAAAAGCATGAAGACTAGCAAGGATGAAAAGGAATATCGGGATTCAAAGAACGTACAGCTATTGGTGCTGGATTGCCAGGAACTTTTACTGCCCAAGGTTCCCCAGCCAAAAATGAAGGCAAACCTTCAACGGGGATACTAATACCAGGGAACATCAAGTCCGCGCCTCCTATGATATATCTAGAAACCTCGCCCCCCTTCAGCATGAAAGAAGGCAAGAGTTCAGGGACCTTCCAAAGAGCAAAAACTACATGACAAGACAATAAAAATGTTAAGAACACAAAACATGGGGAAAAACAACAGCAAAGCTAGGAAATAGTGCAGCAAAACACCAGTCTTTAAAACATAGAAAGCAAATGCATAACCCAAACATGAAAAAAGAACAAACAACATAAACATTCTTAATTGTAAAACTCTGTCAATAAGCTTGAAATAAAACTATGATTCTAACCAGTAAAAACATTTTTTTGAGCAACTAAAAGCATATATAACAAAATTAACTCAAAATCTATTTTATTACAAAAATTGTCATGAGCGGCAAAAGATGAATACAAAATACAAGGATCAACTAGTTGTTTTTGTGCCATTATTTTTGTCAGCGGTAAGTAACACACTTTTCAGACTGCATGATTAACCGTTAAGCATCACTCATTCAACAATTCGAAGTTGAGCAAAGTACAATGGATTCATAAATGGAAAAATAAAAATGAGCTGCACAGAAGTGTACCCTAAATACATTTCAACCAGTAATCCTTCATTTCTAATACATTCAAATACTAAGAATCATCATATACCAGTTGGGTATATCTCAGTTCCTCGCCCATCAATATCAAAAACCATGGGCAAGCCACCTTCTATCCCATACACTTGTACTCGATTTTGAAACTTTGCAACTGTTATCTCTGCCTGCATAGAAATTTCTTCACGTTAAGTAAACATAATCACATTTATGCCTTCTAATAGTAATGAGTAAATATAAT